TTTTTTTTTTTTTTATTCAGTGGCGGAAACAGGCTTCCATAGAAATTGACACTGCATGATGCCATAAAATTAATGGACAAGTGAGAATGATGCATTCATTTCTACAATGGTTTACTAACTGAAACGTTTGTGTCTGATGCTGCATCCAAGCCACTAGGTGTCAGTTTAAGTACAAAATGACTGCCATATTGGCTAGTGCAACTACAGAGATGTGATGGTAGACCAGGTAAGATTGTTACCTATACGGCTTGAACCACACGAATAGCCTACAATTCAGGCCTGCAGATATAAATTTACGTAACTCTCACAATACATAATTAAAAATATTGGGGATTATTATAGGCCTATTCATTTGAAGTAAAAAGAAATAGATATATTTTGCTGTGTGAGTCAATAATTCATGCATCAGAGGATTAAATACAAGACAAAACTATGAAATATTTAACGTTACCTCAAAAGAAAACTGGGATGCCTGCGTGCTCCTCCGCCATTGTTGGTATTGTGGTCATTACTTTATATCAAAATCTTTTATTCATCAAAGCCTGGTTTGGTTGGATCTCCTGTGATGAGATTTTATACTGCTGAACATTTCACTAGATCATCAATACCAGACCAGACAAATGAATAGGTAATTTCTTGAAATGAGGTTTGATATGTAGCTAATAAAATGGGGGAGACCTGTATGACTTGCTCCACAAGAACTGCAAAAAAAACAAAACAAAACAAAAAACAGAATTGTTAGAGTGATGTACACATATAAAATTGTTTATTATTATTATCAATATTTACCAATTTAAAATGTTCTCCATTATTATTATTAAGAATTAAGATTAAAATGCTTCAAATGAACTGGGTTGAGGTGGGGATTGATGGGAGAAATTAGGCTAAATGGCAGTAGTGTGGTTACAACAGCATTCTCTGTACTTACTACTAATTTATACATTTATATAGGCTAGCCTATAGGTTGTATTTTTCAAAACAAGGCATTTGTAGCAGATTAATATGGAAAAAACGACCCAAAAAACAACAACACTCTACGCTCTCCCCAGCGGATGCAGTATAAACTAAGATGTTTTAAAACACTGCGTTAAAATGCTATTGATTTCCTAAAATGAATTCCTAAAAACAACAAAATACTCCCTTTTCTACCTTTAGCATTACTGGACAGATTGCACACTGTAAAATCCAATAGTTTACCTTACTTAGATTTAATTAGTTATCTTTACTTAGTTGTTATACTTACTAGGTTTTATTAAGTTACAGGGGTATTGTCAAGAGGAAAATGAGAAACAAGAGACCAAAAAATGCAGATGAGCTGAAGGCCACTGTCAAAGAAACTTGGGCTTCCATACCACCTCAGCAGTGTCACAAACTGATCACCTCCATGCCACGCCGAATTGAGGCAGTAATTAAAGCAAAAGGAGCCCCTACCAAGTATTGAGTACATGTACAGTAAATGAACATACTTTCCAGAAGGCCAACAATTCATTAAAAATGTTTTTTTTTATTGGTCTTATGGAGTATTCTAATTTGTTGAGATAGTGAATTGGTGGTTTTTTGTTAAATGTGAGCCAAAATCATCACAATTAAAAGAACCAAAGACTTAAACTACTTCAGTCTGTGCATTGAATTTATTTAATACACGAGTTTCACAATTTGAGTTGAATTACTGAAATAAATGAACTTTTCCACTTTTCTAATTTATTGAGATGCACCTGTATTCCTATTTCACTTTACTTAGTTTTTTCAAGGCAATCGGTTTGCCTTGTTCGGTTTGCCTCCTTGTTCATTTAGTCACTGTGTAAACAATAAAGACTTAGGCCTAATTAATGAAGTACCTTAACTTGAGTAGTCAGAGCAAAATCTCGTATACTTCAAAATAAATATTTCATTTAGAACAAGTTTACACATATAAACTGGAAATAGGTAGATATTACGTGACATGAATAACCCGGCTGATTCTTTTGCTCAATCAGCTCGTCCAAGTCGCTTCAAAAGCTATGTCTGACAAACTCTTGAGCAACAGAGAATCACATGCACTTAACTATTATAGCTGTAGTTAATGTCCTTGTTGTAATACTATTGCACTGCAACTGAAACACTGAAATTGCTCTTTATTGATACAAAAACAGCTCCACTGTTATATTAGTATCTGGATAGCCTACAATTATAGTTATTTTAAATTAGTTTAATTGTATATTTAAATTTATATTGTAGTTACTAAGTGTAATGTCATTATTATTATTATTTAATATGTGTATAGCTTTTTATTAATTTTTATTTCAATTTATATCAGTACATCAAGGTACGCAAAAATAAAATGTGAATTGCTGCCTTAGCAATAGCTGAAATGCAATAAGCTTTTCACAGATGCAAGTCAACATGTGAGTGGTTTGGCAACAGGTTTATTTATATAAACTACCATTTCTAGTTCATTCCGTTTCCAGTTAAACTTTCTAGTTAATCCGTTGCTTTCATCCTGGCTCGGAACAAATATCAAGGGAAGAGTAGATTTCCAAAGAATGTCTTTTGATTAAAGTTTGAACAAATGCCATAACATCAAAATTAAATTAATATATTAAAAACAGCAAAGATAGCATCATTAAAAAAAGAATAGAGTCTTTTTAAAAAAAAAATTTCTGCTTGATCAGATACTTGATGGGCAAAGCAAATAGCAGGTTTTGTTGTCTGTAGTATCTCTGCAGAGTCATTGCCACCAACACATGAACAGAAGGTCTTCGTTTCTTCTGTCTCTTTCCTGCTTTCCCTTCACACTGTTAAAAAAAGCAATAGTGATTTTGCAAGAGACTCGGTACTCATATCTCTCTGTTGGATTTTTTTAGACTGTTTGCAAATGCTTCTTTAATAATGTAACCTAGGTGAATTGAACACCTCAGCTGTAAATATCTCTTATAATATTTAAGCTCAGTTGTGATTTTTTTTTATTTTCACTTTTAACCTAAATTACCACAGACAGCATTTCACAAAAACTTCTCAAAAGGCAAACTTTAAGGCAAAATTATTTGAATTAAAGGTACTGATTTTGGTTAACAGATTGATTGGAGCTGGCTGGCATCAAACCCGAGGGATAAACTGTAGGTCAATAGGTTTGGAGGGAATGAGCAGGGTTCTGGTTTTGGGATGTATCGATGGGGCTCCCTCCTCCGTTCTGACCTCATAATGTTGCATCAGCTGTGGGGTAAAAGGGAAAAGTGTTAAATTAATGAGAGCACGAGAGAGATAACAATAGTGAGGTAACTGAAGTTTAAACATCAGCTTCAAATTAGATCAACAAGAAGTTTGGATGCACGTGACTAAATATATTTCGTAGAAAACGGATTGAAATTTTATTAAAAACTTTTTCGATTTAAAGGTTTCTTTAAAGTTAAAGAAAACTAGTTTTAGAGATCTAAATTGTGCATATATGGAATTTCTTTAACAAATCTAAACTGTCATATTTTTTAATGAATGGGCTGATCAGATAGTGAAGGAAAACTAAACTAAATATAAGATTTGATTAGTGTAACTTTCTTCATCATTACATAATGTCATTTGTGATATTTCTCAGACTTTTCCATCTGGCGTGTCCATACTTTGTAGACTAGCAACGAACAATGAAAGCTAAAGCGATAGGCCCGGGTATTGAAATTGAATACAATTTACAAGCTTTTGGTTTGATTTTGAGCCTATTTGATATAGATGCATTTGTAATTTTATCAGGTACAGTACATGTAAATTTTTCTTAAAAGAACACTTAAAAGAAAATATAAACTAATGCTGTAAATTATACAGGGTAACCCGTCAGTTGCTACTATAAAATGAATGGTTAAAATGAACAACATATTCCAAATTCAATTGCTGTTTTTTTAGATATAATAATCAACACTCAAACTTAGTTGTATACAAACATTTAAACTGTACATTTTAAAACATGAACATTTAAATGGAGGATGTTCTAAAAATGTTTTGATGACAGATTTATTCAATCGTACCATCAATAAGACAGTGATTATGTAATATAGTGCAAATATTCAGCAAAATGCTCCTCTCTAGAGTCTTTTTTTAGCTAACTCAGGCTTTCCTGAGATAAATGTTGCATTACATAACATTGTTTACAAGCTGTTTTATTAACCGCTGTTGAAACACTGATTGAGCGATTACATGAGACATGATACTTTTCAGTGAGTTGTACTGTACTTTCAACACACCTTCTGATGTTCATTTATGTTTATTTCATGCTATAACTAGTACTAAAGAGGACTGATGTGCACTTGCCATATGAACTGAGGCACACCATATTAAAGTGTGTCAGAATTGTGTTATACAATTGACAGAATTTGAAAGCTTAGACTTTTGAAAGTATATTTATTAGACTTTGGATGTATATTTTGGAATTTAGGGATCAAAATGATGATTGATTGAAAACAGCTAATCAATATTGTCAACCTGGTTTTGTTCTTGGTTTAACAGAATATTTTGACTAATGGGTGTGAAACTGAACTTGCAGATAGTGTGAAAGCGTCATACTTACTCTACTTAGGGCAAAGTACATCTCCAGCTCTGCGACCCTCTTCCCCACGCAGGCCCGAACACCAACCCCAAACGGGACAGAACTGTAGGGGTGATGCTGAGAGCGAGACGGGCTGTCTCTCAACCAGCGGTCTGGAACAAAGCGCTCCGGTTCTGGGAAATTACTCTCGTCGTGACTAACAGCGTAGTGACAGAGATGGAACTGTGTCTGTGAAGAGAGAAAGAGAGAGAAAACACATGAGGGCTGGAGTTAGGCCAGGTTTAATTACTGTATTACGTGTTTCAATAGAACTATTTGAGCTGTGCACGTGTCTGTGTGGTTACCTTCTTAGGGAACCAATAATTATCCACAATTACTTCCGAATCCACAGTCAGGCGTCCATTACCAGGGACAACAGGATAAATCCTATGATTAAAAAGCAGCATATTGTGAGAAAATACATTTAAATCTATCTAAGGTGCTGTCAAAGGTACCAAAGTACTACATTTTGAAATGAGTTCACTGCAAATTCATTGTTTCTCCAAAAGAAATCTGCATGTTTAAATCCCTGTAAAGGACATGATTGATGATGTGAGTTGTTTGTTTAAATAAGTACAGAGCAAAGGTTATTTTTGTCACAGTATAAAATGAGTGAGGTTTGGCCACTCCTGCATAATGTGGGAAACAAATGACCTCTTTCACCCCTTTCAAGATAGAATAGCACTGTTTTCCCTGCACTTAGTGTTTGGGTGGACTAGGACGGATTTCCCTCACCTGAGAGTTTCTTTGATGACAGCCTTCATGTAGGGCATCCTTGTCAGGTGTTCTGCGGTCGGCTGCTCTTTATTCGGACACACAGATGCGATCTCATTATAGAGGCGGTTCTGTACTTCTGCATCTCGTGCGAGGTGGTACAAGGTCCATGATAATGTGTTGGACGTCTTTCGTATTACATTTCCAGTTGATATATTTTACATTTGCAACTTTATCATTGCAAATGCATAATTACCAATATATTTAAATACAGGACATACAAGTTTCAATATAAATTTTAGTTTAGTATAATTGCATGTCAGAACTTTTGGCTATACACTAACTATATTTCAAAGACAACAGAATTATAAAAGTGCATATAAAAATGTACTCAAGTCTAACTTAAGTGGTTCATAAAGCACAAATTGCATTTAATATATATTTGAACTATAATAAATTTTCACTTAATTGTAGTAAACATGCAATTAGCTGTCTAATTACATTCAGTTGGCACAAGTCTGTCTAAGAAATCTTATTTCTGTAATAATTAACTCTCTTTAAAAGTATGTTGTAGTGTACTCCTTTTTCACAAGGAAAGTATCAGTTTGGGATGCAACAATATTAACTTTCTGGTATCATTAATAAATAGTTTTAAAAAAAAATAGTTTCAAATTTGTGCCTGTGTGTTTCTCTCGTGTTCCTCCCTTTCTCAGGAAGTTACCTTCTCTCTTGTTTTCTGCATGTACATTTAGAAAACACCCAGTTGCCACAACAACTGAACCAGTGGTGCAGGATATTGTATTTTTGGAATATGATTCATTTCTGACTAACAGCAAATCACGTTGCTTAATCTGCTTCCTCTTCAACTGCTTCCAGATGAAAATAAACACACGTTCTCACCGTATCCACACCTCCCAGCAGAAGTTCAGTCAGGCTGATGTACACCTCTCCTAAGCTGAGTTTATTGCTGGACAGCAAGTATGTGAGATACATGCCCTCCACCTCCTCTCCACGCTCAACCTGATCATGTATCTCCTTCACCTTCTTATCAATCAGACGCCGGGCTGGACAAAGGTTCAACAGACAAAGAGAGAAAGGACAATCAGTTATGCTTCTGTTTCACAACCATCGATGTACAACCATTTAAAAGTCTGGGTTAAGATTTTTTTTAAAGAAATTAATCAAGGATGCAAATTGATCAAAAGTGACAGTAAAGATATTTATAAAATTAAAAATGTATATATTGGAATTTTCTATATGTGACCCTGGACCACAAAACAAAAAAAGTGTCAATTTTTCAAAATTGAGATTTATACATCATCTGAAAGCCGAATAAATAAGCTTTCCATTGATGTAAGGTTTTTAGGATAGGACAATATTTGGTCGAGATACAACTATTTGAAATAATTTCATGTTCATAATCACCCTGCTATGCTCAAAATTGTAAATATGAATGGGAATATACTTCACAGATATTTCACTCATAAGAATTTCTAGGGGTGCCAATAATTGTGTCCAACGTTTATTCGAGAAAAACATTTATTTCGTAATGAGATTTTCCCCCCATTTTCAATTGTTTTAGTTCAATGAAAGGTTAGATATTTGTGAATTTGTTTTAAATAAAAGATCAAAATGATTAACAATGCAGATTTATTTTCACAGCCTTCTTTGATCATATTTACCAAGGGTGCCAATAATTCTGACCACGACTGTATAACATACATAACACACACAGATACATAAATGTGTACGTATATATATATATATATATATATATATAAAACCTTCAAAACTTGTCAAATAATTAAATGAGCGTGCACAATTAAATATTGGCCAATATGAATCGAATAATGACAAATAAAAAAAATCACTAATAACCAATATGGTAATGATATATTGTGCGTCCCTAATGCAGACATTGAACTTTAGCATACCTACGTCATACAAGTCATCCCATGCCTGGACAAACCGTTTCCAGAACGGGAAGATGTGACGGGTCCAGCGTGGGAAAAAAAGAACCGTCTCTGACAACGCCAACATGTCATTGACGGCAGATATGAACCGCAGGGTGTCTGTGGGAATTTCCTCCTGTAAACAGCCTAACCGAGTTTCGAACAGGATCGAGGAGATTCCTGAACAGCAGCAAAGAAAAACCACAGTCAAAATAAAAATTCTAGACTTCACAAGAGTATAGTGCTGTTTGTTCAAACATTACTGCGACGAGCTCCAGGATATTGTTACCATTCTCTATCCATACATACCCTCAAAGCCAAATTTGTAGAGCTCAGAGGCGAGGTCCTTGACGGTGACCTGGTCTGGACTGCGCAGACGCAGGAGTTCCACACGCTGTAGGAGATCAGACACAACCTCGTGAATTATGGGAGCATATGCTGCTACTTCCTTCAGTTTAAGCATCTTAGGGTTCAGAGCACTGCGGATGCGATACCACTCAGTGCCTGTGCTGAAAAACGCAGAAAAAAGTCTAAATTGGTGATTTTATCAAATATTGGCATTAAAGAAATATATTATCATCTAAAAGCTTGGGGTGGGTACGATTTTTTAAAAAGTTTTTAAATGAAGTATCTTACTCTCACCAAGGCTGTATTTATTTGACCAACAATACAGTTAAAACAGGTATACTGTAAAATATTATTACAATTTAAAATAACTATTTTCTATTTTAATGTATTTAAAAATGTGATTTTATGGCAAAGTTTAATTTTATCAGCCATTGGGTTTTTTGTGTTTAAGAAACATTTCTTATTGTTATCAATATTACAAACTTTACACCATTTTTTGTGGAAGCCATGATACATTCTTTTAGTATTCTTTGCTCAAAAGAAAGAGCATTTATTTGAAATAAAAAAAAAACTTCTGTAACATTATTAAAGTCTTTACTGTCACTTTTGATCAATTTAAGAGTCGTTGCTGACTAAAAAAATCTTCTATTTTTTTTTTCTTTTTAAAAAAGTCACCAGGCATTTTTATGGTAGTGTAGTCCACTCCAAAAATGAAACTTTTGTCATAATTTATTTGACGAGTTCAGATGCAAAAGCCTCCAAGTGCCATCTGAAATTTTCTTCTAAAAAGAACCAATTCATTGCCATTAAAGTGAAATTACTGAACCTACACATAGGAGCCTGAGAAAAATGCTCATTTTAGAAGAAAATTTCAGACGGGACTTAGTGGCTTTTGCATCTGAACTTGTTATTTATTATAAATGTCATCCCAAACCCATATGACCTTCTTTCATTCATTGAATACCAAAGGTTGAAGTTTTGAAGGAAATTCTGCCCAAACATTTCAATAGTATATCAGTAAGAATATTAAGAAAAGGACTGGGGCTATCAAATTCCAAAATGACAATCAATCAATCAAACCAAAATTCTGTTAATCTTGAGGTCCACCATTCATGGGAATCATGACAGAAATAGTTTTGAGTCATATCTTTTTAATGAATCACTTGATACAATTCACAATAGTGCTCTGGATGATTTGTATAGAATATAATTGATCTGGTTATTGAGTTCAACCAAAGTCCCTTTCAAGGAAAGTCTGTTCACTCGGCGGCCATATTTGCAACGCCTCCGGCTAGCTCAAACAAGACCAAGTCCTATTTAAATGAATGGGGGAATCCTGAAATCTCAAAAAATGCTGGCTGAAGTCGCAATTAAATTACATATTTCAAATCAGCAACAAAATATGAAATTAACGGCCCAATAAATGTTGTTTCTTATGCTAAAATAGCGTTTAAAAAAAGCTTATTTTTCAGGCTAGACCAGCAAATGCGCATGCGCAGTTATATCGCGCTTATGACTATGCATGCGCATTGGCCGATCTAGCCTCAGGTTTCTATGGGAACCGGAGCTTCTAATGCCGAGATCACACGGTACGATTTTCAAAGTCATTGGATCACCGTTGTTTTCACACTGCATGATTATCTGGGGTACCATTCAGTTGCTGCTGTGTTCACATTGCACGATGGATCGGCGACAGGTTACACACTGCATGACTTTACAGTAGGAAGAATCGCCGACAACTCTGTCTGGTCCGCAAACAACCAAACGCACGCGAGAAGTGATAAGGAAATAGTTATCTTCATTGTCCATTGTCACATTCATTACTCATTACAACATACCTTAATATTTCATAATGATTGTAAATGTAATCATTTTTATTAATAATAATATTTTTAATAACATTTAATACGTTTTAAACTCTTATACCTCATGCACTTATTTTTAATATGTGGTGCACCCTACTGTTACATGTACGCATTTCATAGTACTGAATTTTTAGATTATAATTTGAAACGCATTGACCTGACTGATTTATGTAGGTTCTTGCTCACAGTAAAAACTAGTGGTATTTCATGTATTAAAAGTACAGATAAAGATGGTAAATTAAAAATATATTGAGTAAATATTGTGGTCTATAACTCCTCCCCGAACTTCCCGCTGCCCTGTATCTTGCTCTCTCATTGGCTGTTACATCATCGCCTATGGTTTTTTCAGTCAGAACTCATTTCACACAGCAAGATTTTGAATTGCCGTCAGGTTCAGATATTTAGCATGCCAAATATTTCATGGGCGTCGGCGACGCATTGGCGATTCTCTCAGATCGCGTCTTTGATAATTCACACTGTGTGATTGTCACTCGCGTGAACAAGCACCGATTTGCCTCCGATTTCGCAAAACCTGTCGGCGAGTGACAATCGGGACTAAAATCGTGCAGTGTGAACTCGGCATAGCGGCCGCTGCTGTGACGCAATGACTTTACCAATCAGCGATTGGCTCTTTCATTTAGAAGGCGGGACTATTTCGCCATATTGCGCGTTGCATTTTTGTCCGAAAGCCTAGGCAGCTTACTTGCTGCCTCGCTGCCTTATGAGGCAATGACTTTGCAGGCAGCGTTTTTGCACGAAGGCACCTCATGAAACTGATTTCGGACAGGCTTCTGAGGCAGCGTAACGGTTTAATGATCTACAACCAAATAGAACGAGTTTTTGTGATAACTAAACGAATATTTACTTATTACAATACTGATTTCTTGCTAGAAATAACATCAAAAGTGCAAAAGGTTAGTCAGAAACATACATTTACACACAACCTGACCACCAAACGCAACTTTCAGATGCCATCTTTATTTTTTTAACCCAACCATCACGGAAAGGAACGCACAGGATTGTGGGATATCAAAGGCAGCAAAGGATACATCTATGCTGCCTTCAAAATTCGATCAGAAGAAGGTACCTCCGGAGACAGGAAGTGAAGCAGAATTTGTATTCGGACGTGCTTTGATGCCTTGATGCCTTGAAATGCTGCCTCTGAAAGCAGCATTTTAGAGCTTTCGGTTGTATTTCTATAGTCTTTGGTTCAACTCAGCCTCACGGAGGTAAAGATTATCATGGAATAATCTTACATTTAGTACTGTTTGGCACACAGAGCTATTGTATTGCTTGGACGATGTGGTGTAAAGAGTCATAAAGGCTGATTTTATCATACTTTTATGGTGCTTTTGCATCCTCGAGAAGATTGAGAGCTCCAGAAAAAATAAAGTCAAACAGGTTTGGCACAGCAGACTATGTGTGAAGGAGAGAGGTGCTTACTCTACATGAATTCCGTATGCCTGTCCTCTCATGTCTCTGTATTCTTTCCAGTGAGGCAGATCAGTCCGCACTGGGTAACGGCCCTCCTGTCGGATCACCTGTGCAATCAGTTCAGCCGTCGCCACATTTACCACATCAAACGGCCCAAAGCGTGACCGCCAGATCGGACCATACAGGCGCTTATGCTCCACCTGCAATAGACGTGGGGGAAAAATCATTGTGTGTTTATTGCCAATTATTTATCATACACAATAGGCCATTTAGGTACTTACGTACATCACAGATAATAAATCGACTCTCCTTCCTGGAGTAACCTAAGGTTAAATATGAGTTGTGTCATTTTGTAAAATGTTTAAATACCATCTCCCATTTTTGTTTAATGCAGTGATTCTAAACTAGGGGGCCAGGGCCCTCCAGAGGGCCTCAACAAACTCCCAAGGAGACCTCAAGATGACGTAAAGAATAGTTCACCCCAAAAAATGAAAATCTACTCACCCCTAAGGCCATCCAAGATGTAGATGAGTTTGTTTCTTCAATGAAAGCAATATTATGGATAGAGGACTTGTATTTTAGCTGGATGTTAAAAATGTCTTGATGGATTTATTTATTACAAACCAAAATTTAGAAGACACAAAAAGATCATAAAGTTGTTGTAAAAAGAATCCATATGAATTAAGCAGGGGTGTATTCCAGAAAGCAAGGTTAACTTACCATCTGCTAAATCCTGAACTCCCGGTTGATTAACCCAAACCTTGCTTACTCGTGGTATATGTTGGTTCCAAAAACGTGTCCGGGAGTAAGTTCATTCAACACAGAATATGTTCCTGGTTAACACGCAACACATTCTCAACTGTATATATATATATATATATATATATAATATAATATATAAATAATACATAGAAAAAATAAAGTCAAACAGGTTTGGCACAGCAGACTATGTGTGAAGGAGAGAGGTGCTTACTCTACATGAATTCCGTATGCCTGTCCTCTCATGTCTCTGTATTCTTTCCAGTGAGGCAGATCAGTCCGCACTGGGTAACGGCCCTCCTGTCGGATCACCTGTGCAATCAGTTCAGCCGTCGCCACATTTACCACATCAAACGGCCCAAAGCGTGACCGCCAGATCGGACCATACAGGCGCTTATGCTCCACCTGCAATAGACGTGGGGGAAAAATCATTGTGTGTTTATTGCCAATTATTTATCATACACAATAGGCCATTTAGGTACTTACGTACATCACAGATAATAAATCGACTCTCCTTCCTGGAGTAACCTAAGGTTAAATATGAGTTGTGTCATTTTGTAAAATGTTTAAATACCATCTCCCATTTTTGTTTAATGCAGTGATTCTAAACTAGGGGGCCAGGGCCCTCCAGAGGGCCTCAACAAACTCCCAAGGAGACCTCAAGATGACGTAAAGAATAGTTCACCCCAAAAAATGAAAATCTACTCACCCCTAAGGCCATCCAAGATGTAGATGAGTTTGTTTCTTCAATGAAAGCAATATTATGGATAGAGGACTTGTATTTTAGCTGGATGTTAAAAATGTCTTGATGGATTTATTTATTACAAACCAAAATTTAGAAGACACAAAAAGATCATAAAGTTGTTGTAAAAAGAATCCATATGAATTAAGCAGGGGTGTATTCCAGAAAGCAAGGTTAACTTACCATCTGCTAAATCCTGAACTCCCGGTTGATTAACCCAAACCTTGCTTACTCGTGGTATATGTTGGTTCCAAAAACGTGTCCGGGAGTAAGTTCATTCAACACAGAATATGTTCCTGGTTAACACGCAACACATTCTCAACTGTATATATATATATATATATATATATAATATAATATATAAATAATACATAATATTGTGCGCAATCTGTCACGCTCACTGGAGTCTCGTCAGTAGGTCACGCATGCGCTGATAGCTCTGAAGTGAACTAACCCTGAAACATAACCTACTCCAGAGCAGGTTATGTTCAGAGAATAAGTTGCTATGGCTACTTACATACCCTGAAAGCTACCTCCTTTTTTGGAACCGAAAGCTGAGTTTATCCGCCTACTTACCATTAAACATACCCGGGTATGTCACATAACCTTTCTGGAATACCCCCCAGTTTAGTCTGGATCTTTTGAAAAGATACAATCAATTTATATAATGAACAGATATAAACACATATGAACACACACATAAAGCTTCCATGTTTACAATATGTGATGTTCTCTACAGTATGTGCGTGTGTAGATCATGGTTGAAAAGACAAACCTAAATTAAATCTGTTCAGCATTTAGCCTAAAACAATTGCATCTCTTCACAAGACTGGGATTAAACTGCTTTATTCATATGGACTTATTTTACAAAGACCTTTCTGTATACATTTGAATTATCTGGACATTCAATGGAGGGACAGAAACCTCTCAGGTTTCATTAAATCAATCTCAATGTGTGTTTTGAAGATTAACCACATGTTTGGAAGGACATGAGGGTGAGTAAATGACAGAATTCAAATTACTGAATGAACTATCCCTTTAAAGCTGATTTATACATCATTAGCAGCACAAACAATCCCGTCTTCCACTGGTTGGACATACAGTTGGGTAAACTGCCCTGAAATAACACCATTAGTTAAACCAGAACTTGACGTCAAGTCCCTCAAACAAACAAAAGCGATGTTATGACAGAACAGCCTCCAAGTTTTCTGATTGGCTAAATTGTGTGGGCCGCATTTTACTTCCTTTTGCAGTTTACAGGGGCTGACACACAGAGATAAGTGTGATTTTTATCTGGCAGTAGGGTCATTTTATCAATGGTAGCATTCCATAAACAATATTTTACAGCAACTGTTCTTTGATACAATGGTGATTCAGATTCTGTCATCCCAAAGCCTACAACCTTTGGAACACAGGCCACTGGACAACAGGTCACCCCCTACTAAATGTGCTCAGACATCTGCCCTATAAATCTCCATAAGTATGGCAAGCTGTTTTAACCTTTATTCCCGAAAACTATCTACCAATTTTATATTACTACCTTTTTTTAATTCTTACCAAGTAATCCAGAGCTGCTAGTACTTGCAACTAGCCACTATAGTTCATATTACTATAGTCTAGAAAATATAAATACTTTTGTTTATGCCTTTATACCTGCCAGTAACTATAGTTATTAGTATATGTCCCTGCTTTTTAGGACTAAAATAACAGAAATTAGTTGGAATTTATCAGACAATATTTTTTATACAATTTATAACTTTTTAATAAAACTGTATAGTAGCCACCCTGACTAGTCATTACAAATATATAAAGCTATTTTATATAAAAATTAAAAAAAACAACAACTGTAACTAGTAGTGAGATATGCTATAAGTAACAATTTGGATAGATGCTAATGCTAAAAAAAAGGTAAATTAATATTTAACAACATCTAATATCTATTACAGCCTCAATAGATACTAGTAACTATTGGAATAGATATGATTAACTAAGCTAATAATTACGTACTAGTGTTGTGGCAATTTTCCATTTCAATGAAGGTAAGACAAGTCTTTTGAAGATTTATTGCAAGAAAAGGTCTACACTCTACAGTCATTCAAGTTGGCTGCAGAGCGCAACAAAAGAAAGAACACTGACTCAGTATTTATACTCCAATCAAACCAGGATGCTTCAATCTCATTCAGTCATACTGCATTTTCAACATATGCATCCATTTAAGGCATCTATGTCCCCTAGAGGTGTTTTAATGCAAATCATCTTCTTAGAAGCTAGGATGTAGGGTCTCTAAAATAAATTTTTTTCTAGGTGTTTCACACTTGTCTGCACACACTAGGGATGGGAAGATTCCCCGATTCGCTCGGTGCATCGGCATAAAAAGTTAACGATGCGATGCATCAGTTTAAAAAGTGTGTATCGGCTACAAGTCGGCATTTGTATCGTGATGCATCGTTTCTAACATATTTGCATCAGTAAAAAACGATTTATTTATATATAATTACTAGTGGATGCGCTATACTTTTATTATTTAGAAAGTGACCAATAATCTGTGACCAATATTTTATATGTAGTTTGATTTCTCCTCTCTAAACTGTTTCTCAAGCGCGTTCTCTCATCACCGC